GGCGACTGGCCGCAAACACAGACCTAATCTCGGGAGCTGCTCACCTCCTGCTGTGCAGGCGGATCCCTAACAGTTCCAGTTTGTGGTCCAGGGGTTGGGGACTGCAGTTTTATGAGAATATGTTATTTTTAATACCCTAAATTCTACTAAATTTAGTTTACTTTGATATGTGTTTATCCCCTCCACCAAAACACACACACACACACACACACACACACACACAAATGCAACTCACTGTCATTGACTGTAGCCACAGATAAACCTCTAGGTAGGTTTAACACATTATGATGGTCCACCTTGAACTGGTCAGGAATTAATACTGCAGGGTGATATACAAAACCCCAAACATGGGGGAAAATTCACTGTTATGGTACCTCTCCATTAAAGTGCTTGTATGAAAGTATCTTTTTTTTTTTAAAGTCCAGTTTATTGAGGCATCATTTACTTATGGTAAAATGTACCCTCTTTATAATAGAGTTCTGTATGTTTTGATAAACACAGACAGTTTTGTAACCAGCACCACAGTCAAAACACACAACACTCCATCATCCCCCGAAGTTTCTTCACATCCCTTCCTAGTTAACCATTCCCCCAAACGCTCCTCCCTGGCAACCCTGGATTTCATGTAAGTGTATCAGTTTTCCCTCCTTTGTTAGAGATGGGTGGGCAGCCCAGTGGATGGCTATGCAGGTTAGCGAGGAAGTGGTTCAGGTCAGACTGGCAATGCTGAGAAATGGGCAGATCTGAAGTCTGTTCAGCATGTGGAGTCAGCAGGATGTGCTGATAGATGGGCTGTGGGACACGAAGGAAAGAGGATGTGTCTTAGGTTTTTGTCCTGAGCAAGTGGGAGACTGGCGATGTCATTAACGGAGATCAGTTAAACAGTGGCAGGGCCAGGTTTAGGGGATGGGAAATAGCAACTCTATCTTGGACATGTTAAGGGTGAACATTCAAGTGGCAACAGGATTGGTAGCTGGACAAATGAGTTGAGAAATCAGATTAAGACATCTCGGCTGGACATAAAAAATTTGGAATTACCTGCTAGGGGTACTCAAGCCATGGAACGGAATAGGATCTCTTAAGGAAGTACAGGCAGGGAAGAGGCCCAGGACTGTGCCAGGGAGCAGAGGATTGTGCAGTTCATTTACTTCCTTGCTCTGATTTCACACTTACTGAGCAAGCACCTGATTATTATCTGGCTTAAAAGCTTGGTCATTTGGACTCGGGAATATTCCAGTTTCTGTGACAGCTCTCATTGTAAATAAGCTGATCACCTTCCCAAGCCTGGTTTGAGTCAGTGCCCGAGACAGAGACAAAATCCGCATTCTCACAAAAATCTGATGGTGACTCTGCATAAAGGGAAGCCCGAGCAGAGATGGTGGAAATTCCCTGAGGAAGTGAACACTGCACCGCTAGTTGGCCCTCATCTTTCACTCACCTATCTTTTGCAGCCTGTGAAGCCAGAATAGTCTCACATTTCCAGAATGGGTAGGAAAACCCTAAGCCAGGTATGGCTAAGAAAATATTCCCTTTTTAGGGGCTGTATCCCTTTTACTGTCGAAGTTCCACTGGTCTGTCATGGTATCTCTCACATAGTCTTTCTTCCGTAATGATTCTGCATTCCCTTAGATCATAGGTCTTATCACATTACTGTTTGGGGAGCTTTCTATCTGTGCTCACTCAAATCTCTTTTTAAAATTTTATTTTTAAATAGGTAGTATTCACTTGGTTCAAAAATCAAAACCACAAAGTCTGCAGAGTATAAGGAGAAACATTCTTTCTACCTCTTCCCAATCCATGTTTCCCCCTGCAAAATCACGGCCCCTTGCCTTTTAGCTTGTGTATCCATTTAGGATTGGGATTACTAATCTTTTGTTATTGCACGGTTGCAATAAACAACTGTATACACACACGTACACGGTGCGTGTGCTGCAGTTGTCTTCTCTGATGGGCTGTGCTGAAGGGAATGACAATCTTCTGTGTGGGGTGAGCAATTTCTGATAAAACCTCAGGATCAAATTACAATCCTTTCTCCCTTCTCTTTTAGTCTAAAACATGTATACCACGACAATTCCTGTACTACATGTATGATTAAATAGCTTCTCTGGCCAAAGCAGTTCAAGAAATGTTCAACTACTTAATGCCTATTGTTTTAGAGATAAAAATGGCTGGCTAGCTGGGCACAGTGGCTCACACCTGTAATCCCAGCACTGTGGGAGGCTGAAGCAGGGGAATTAATTGCTTGGGCTCAGGAGTTCGAGGCTTGTGAGAGACTGAGACCTTGACTCATTAAAAAAATGAAAAACCCAGCCGGGCACCACAGCAAGTGCCAGTAATCCCAGCGGCTTCTGGAGCAGCAGGATGCCCACAGTCTGAGGTTGCAGTGAGCTATGATGCCACTGCACTTTGCTTAGGGCTGAGGATGGGACTCTGTCTAAACAACAAAAGGCTTGCCCTGGCTCGTTAAGAAAAAATAATAAGGTTCATTAAATACTATTGGAGAAAATGTGTTTGTGGGAGGACAGACATGCAACTTCAGAAAATTAAAAACTCAGAAATTAATGCGTATTTGCCTTCTTTTTCCCTCCCATGGTGTAGCCAGTTTTGTTTTCTGAAGATACTGCCTCAATATATCCCATCCCACATGCTCTTATGTGACATTGACATTCTGCCTAGTGAGTGGTAGGGCCTGTGTTCTCCTCCCTGGAACCTCAGCTGACCTCTATGATTGCTCAATCAATAGAATACAGAGGAAATTGTCCCATTAAGCCTCATCACCCCCCCCCCCAGAACATGCCGAGTAATATAATGATTCAAATCCACTAAGTTTTGGGATTATTCATCAAGCAGCAGTACAAAATAGGAATATGAGCTTAAGCTTCTATAGTCTTCACATTTTCTTTGGTTTTGATTCTTTAATTTTCATTCCCATTTTACCATAATGTTGCCTGTGGTTTTTTTGTTTGTTTGTTTGTTTGTTTGGTGGTTTGGTTTTGTTTTTCTGGAACACTGGTCTATTTTTTTTTTGTCTGTTCTAACTGCAGGTCACCTCAAATCCTTTGTGGCTGAGGGTGTGAGCAGACACATAATATAATTGTATCTAACCCACTGCTGTAAACTTCCTGGTGTTACTCTGTCAATAAGGATAACTTCTGAGAGGATCCAAGTTATTAAGGATAACTTATCACCTAGGTTGAGGGCTTTTTTTTTCTTTTAACTAAGATTAAAAGATTAAATCTTTAAAAAAGATTGCTTTGTGTAGATTTGTTCTACATATTCTTCTCACCAAAACAGATCCTTTACCTACAGAAGTATGAAGAAATGATTATAACCTTGTCTATGGAGGACCAGATGACTAGGTCCTCAACAGACATTCATTGTCTATCTATTCTGTGCAAGATATTAGACCAGGTGCTGAAAATACAAAAGGGCAATCGGACTCATGACTACTTATAACCTATAAAACGCTTACCGTATGCAAAGCATTGGGCGTGACTAGAAAAGTCTTTGAATACCTTCAGTAATGGAGGAGTGTTTAAAGTAGCAGCAACAATAAAAACAATAACAAAATAGAACAAAATGACCTGATAGGCAACAATAACAATAAAAAAAGGGGGGGGGAATTATACAGCAATTTTAAAGTAGGTTTATTCATCCATGAATTCAGTAAAAGAAACAGTTTATTTTCTCCACAGAAATAATGTATCATAGCATAAATCTTTTTTTAAAAAAACCCCAGAACTATAGGTAATACAAAGATCATGGTAGGCTGTTACAGTTTTCAAATACATTAATAGTCACTACTTACTCAATTGTAATTAAAATATTATCTTTCTGTTTCCCTACATTTAATACCAACCCAAGTAAATATTAATTTCTTGAATAAGTAGATTGGAAGCATGAATTTAGGAACAGATTAAAGACAACAATTATTTTATTCAACACGCACTTCTGAACACTTGGAATAAATAGCACTATTTGGGGTGTTACAGAAAACTACTAAAAGTAGAAGATACTGGCCTTATCCATAACTAGAGGCATATACTATCTGCATTTATAAGCTTTACAATTAAAATAAGAATATTTGTAAATTCACATTAGGAATAAAAATTGTCAAATTTGTTACCAGGGAATTCTGGCAATGCAACAAATACAAGGAAAATCAGGAAATAATAAAGTATCTTTACAAGCTTTTAGGAACCAGGAGAAAATCAAAGTTTGAATTTCATATCCTTTCTGGTATTAACTTTTAAGTACAAAGAAGAAAAGGAGTTCATAACGCACAGATTTCTGGTCACATATGTTCAATGGCATGTGGATGGTGAAAAGGTATTCAAGTTTTTCCAAGTAAAATGGTAATAAACCAAGGGGCACAAAAAAGTAAAACCTAATTTATACACTTTTTGGAAAAAAAATTGAGATTTATTTTACTCATTGCTTTACACATTATGAGGGAAAAATTAGTATAAATAAAACAAATGTTTACATTATAAACAATTAAAACAAGAGGGCATCTGAAGAACCCATTCAAGCCTGAGAGTAAATGATTCTGTGAGCTAAATATATAAAGGTGGGAAAGGTGAGCTGGAGCAAAAAGATGGAGGAGGGTAAAAAGGAGCGATTATATATAGAAACGCTCCCCCCTGAGCCGGTACAGAACAATACGGAACTGAGACTCAGAGACACAAAAGGGAAATGGACACACTTAACTAAATCTTACCTTCTCCCACCTGAAGCGTTTGCCCATTAGTTTTGTTCCATAAAATAATTTAGTATTTCTATGAATGGCCTTGTGGCCTTAGTGTACTTCTTGTAAAGACTTGCAAAGACCCCATCTCTACCAAAAAGTTAGCTGAGAATGGAGGAGCATGCCTGTACCCTCAGCTACTTGGGAGACTGAGGCAGGAGTATCCCTTGAGTCTAGGAGTGTGAGGTTACAGTGATCTATAATGACGCAACTGCACTCTAGCCTGGGTGACAGAGCAAAACCCTGCCTCAAAAGAAAAAAAGCTTGATTAATAAAAAAATTCTGATGTTATAGTTCATCTTCTGAATCTTCATCATGAACTTTCTGAGGTTGTCTCTTAATGTTGATCACCAAATCAATGGTTAATATTTTTGTCAAACACTGAAGAACTGAAGTTAGTAGCTGGTATTTGCCAGTTACTGATTCCAAACCTGTCTGACTGCTTACCATGGGTTGATTGGTTTGTAGTGCGTGGAGAGCTCTTCTGTATACTTGTGGAAAGCTGTCATTTCCCTTCTTAGATTTATAAAGGATTTTGGGAATGCCTAAAAGTGCATTAGCTATTATCATACTAACCACTGTTTCTTCTGATTGCTGGCATTTCTTGGCATAGTTGAGAAGATAATAATGTAACAAGATTTCAAAATTACCACCTACTGGCAAAACACAACCTGCTGGCATAGCTGAGGAACAGTAACTCTGGGAAGTACACATATCCAGTAACCTACATCCCATGGGTAACACGTTCCCCTTTCCAGCAATTTCTAAATTTTCACAAGATATGTCTACTCTAGTGTTTTCTGTTGTTGAATTAGCAGTGGAATTACTCTCAATTAACGGTTCACAGTCATCAATTATCCCGTCTTTTTCCAAAGAGAAACATCTGGGTGTTTGATCTCTTTGGAATGTATTTGTTGGTGTCAGTTTTACTGTTGAACATGGAATATATGCTTCTAATTCTACATTTGAAATTACTTTTAAATATGTTTGAGCTTTTTCCAATTTATTTTTGTTCTTTACAACTGTGTTCGGGCATGGTTTTTGGAGTGAGCCATTACCATGTTCTTCTAACTGATTACCTTCTCTGCTATTCTTATAAATAAGAGGGCTTGAAGCATCATTCTGGTCACTGGCTTGTGTCATGTAATTTAGATCAAGATCTTTAAATAACTGCCGGAGCATTTTAAATGCTCCATGTAAAGCACCTTTGTGTTGTTCAATAAGACCTTGCACGGGTCCACAAAGAACTATGCAGTGTGGCATAAATGCACATGTGCTAATCAAGCCAAGATGAACATACCTTTTGGATCTAAGGATGAGGGGTTTACAAAATTTCACCAAAGCGGTATCAGAGATTTCACACTGTGAAGAGCCCTGTGGTATTACAAATGGAGAAAGACCACTGATCCTCTGGATAAGAGAAATTTCTTCTGATGACAGACACTCTACCACTGATATGCCACTCAGTCTTGCATAATAAATAACTAAATCTGCCTGTTTAACACTGGATAGCAGCAATTTTACATTCTGACTATGTAAATATTTCATTATTGATTCTGTCCTTTCCATAATCCAAAATTGAGATGTTTGAAATTGTGCTTCTGAATTTAGGATAAACTCTGATCCAGAAGTGGAAAAAAGAGGCTGAAGAGTTTCTGTTACTATCACTGTTCTTATGTCACCATCTGCTGGGCAGTACACAGAAAAATCTCTGTGAAGCACAAGACCAGCCACTATTCTGGAATCTGAAACAGGAAGACCAGTGACACCTACATTCAGCTCTACAAAAGCATCATCCACTAACTCAAATATATTAATCCCACTTTTATAAGTCATACACTTGAAAAAATAGTCACACATCAATTGCGAAATAAATTTCTGATTATTTCTTCCCACTCTTCCACAAAAGTATGCTTCTAAGAGCCATTCTAGAGAACTCCTAGACAATGTTCTCTCTTTAACAGAAGAAAAGATAGACAGAAAGTGTCCACTTAAGTACTGGTCCATGATACAGTCTAATATTTGTGTCTGAAACGTTATAAGAGTTTGGGAAATAAATTTCCATTGACAACAGTTTTTCCAATGCCTTCTATGAGTTTGAATATTTTCAGACATCAAAGAATCCTTGTCTCTGTCTGTGACTGCATTAAGTCCTCTAAGTAAATGGCAAAGATAGATGATAAATGTTTTAGCACCATCTCCTGCTTTTTTAAGATGACTGGAAACACAGGCCACTATCATCCTGTACAAAAAGGAAATAAAATAACTCAGATTTTCAGAAGGCTGGCTTCTGATATTTAAATCAAGTAAAAACTATGTTTTCACAGCTGTAAGTAAAAAACCGGAATACTGTCCCTTTGATTTTAATTTTTACGTCTTTAATTTTAGTTTTTCTTTCCAAGTTCCTCTGTTCTATTCCAAGACCTCAGGGTTGGGCGGAGTGAAAAGCGTTCTTGGGAATTAATAAAATTTGGGGTCCACAAGAATTTCCGTGGGCAGGGCTCTAGGGCCGCGCACACTGGTCTCAACCGAGGTCAGCTTTTCCAGGTACACAGCCTCAGGAGGGGACAAGAGGCTCTGGGAAATTGACCCGGGTGCCAGACCTGGGCGAGGGTGGGACGCGGGTACCTGGCTATGGGATGGTCTAAGCGCAGCGCCTCCAGGAGGCGGCCTCCATCCCGGGTGAGCAGCACCTCGCCAGTGGGCTTCGTACACAAAACCTGCCGCCCCTCGGGCCCAACGCAGCAGCTCACGATGGTTTCCAGCACCTCGGCCACCTGCAGCGCCGCTCTCACAGACCCTGCAGCGGCCATAGACCTTCCGACGCGGGCCACTCCCCGTCTCCAGGTCGCAGGACGCCGGGCAGGCGCGGCCCGCCCGGAAGCGGAAGGGACAGGGATGAACCGGAAGCCGCAGCGGAAGCGGGGTAGCACGGCTTCCGGGTTGGGTCAGCCGGATGCTCTTCCGCCCGCTTAGCGGGAAAGCCCTGGGTACAGGTCGGCCCCCGGGGGCAGCCGGCCCGTAGGCGCAGAGACCCGGCGGCTGCGGCTCCGAGGAGCCCTCCCCGGCCCCCAGGTGAAGTCCTTTCTGTCCGCCGGCACCGGCTGCTCGCGGACCCGCAGTGCCCCCGACAGTTCCCTGCGCAGTCGGGACAGTGATAGGGCAGGTGTGATGGTGGGAAAACCTCTGCCTTGGTTTCACGGGTGTTCTTTCTCCACATTAGTTGCTCTTACCATCATGAAAGTAGTTTCTAGATGCAGGAAAGATGGGGAGAGGCTGGCCACAGGCGTGAATTGCAGGTTTCTGCCGCAGGGAACTTTGCCGCATTTCCTGGGCTCAGGGATCAATAAAACCCCAGTTACCCAACTCAATGACCTTTTCTTTAGCAGAAATGATAGATGCGCAGTCATCTGATGTCGACTCATTAGGACTAAAAGGTGATTTAAGGGAGGGAAAAAACTTTCCTATGGATTTAGTTTAATAGTGATGCTTCTTCCGGCTCTGTTCATCAGAAAGGGGTCACATTAATATAGATTCAACAGTGGTTTATTCCAAACATTTAGAAGTTGCTATTAGAGTCCTAGTAACATTAAAGAGTACTGTGGAGAAATGGCTTCACATTTTGTGTTAGATGGGGAGTGGGCTGTCACTCCTTTTTGAGGGGGCCGAGGTTGGGTTTAAATCCGCCACTTCCGGCATATGGGGCCGGCGCCCTACTCCTTTTAGCCACAGGCGCCACCCAACTCTTTTCGTTGTTTTTGAGACAAAGCCTCACCGTCCGCCTGGATAAAGTGTGACGTCATAGCTCACAGCAACCTCAAATTCTTGGGCTTAAGTGATGCTCCTACCGCAGCTTCCAGAGTGGTTGGGACAACAGGCGCCCGCCACAACACCGGGCTAGAGACTATCTCTTGCTCAGGTTGGTCTCCCAACCCCTGAGCTCAAGCAGTCCAGCAGACGTGGCCTCCCAGAGTGCTACAGTCACCTCGCCTGTCACTCTTACTGTATAGGTGTAGGCCACTACACCTCACTGAACTTTAGATTGTTCTTGTATAAAATCTAGCTGACTTCCACTTATTTTAAGTTTCTTGTTAAGATTCAAGAATGAATGTAAAACACCAAGGAAAGCATACTTTAGGGATTCTGTTAAATTCTTTTCAAGCCCTTTGTCATCCTTTACAGCTACCCCCACCTGCTCCCCCCCCAATTAAAATCAGGACTAAAATTTAGTCACCATGTTATATTGAGAGTCAATTGATCACAGTTTGCTCTTTTAAAAAAACTTTATTTAGAATGCCTACTTGAAGAAGTCAACATATTGTACATATTAGAAAAATTCGATTCTTTTGTCTCTGCAAACATTTATAGTAGGTTAGGAATAATAGATTAGAAATGTAATACATTACAAAACAGTAGCCTTTGACTATCTGTACATTTACTATGCACCTTAAGGAAAATTATTTGACAGTGTGCTGTACTTAAATTGCAGGTAACATACTTTTATTCTATCATACAAAACTGACCAGTGGTAGTGTGTGAATTTATAAATGGCCATTAAACAATAAACTTAGATGTATATTTAGCATGCTAAAAAGTGAAAAAAAATCAGCTGAATTCTGTAGCTCATCAGTTCAAATGTTTTATGGCATTTTTTTCTTTAAATGAAAAATTTTGATGTCACAATGTTAAAATAATTTTACATGATAAATGCAGAAAGAAATTTTTCTAAATATTTTAGAAAGTACATTCACATTCATTTGTCATGGGTTTCTTGTGGCTGTTCTCAATATGTTAATCATATTAAGAGGAGACTGGTCCTATACAATTTTAACAGTCCATCTTCAATTAAAAACTGTAACAGTATGTCAAAAGTAACAGAAAGTAAGTAATACTGAACTCACACAATAGGTAGAACAAAATGAAACCAAATTACATCATAATGGCAGGTTATTCATTTTAAAGAATCTCTTTTTGCACTCAGTCAAATAAGGTAGAAGTGGAAACATAAACTGATGTTTCTGTGGTTTCTCCTATTAGTTCAAATCGGAAAATCTGATATAAATGCTAATCTTCTATTTCTGTTTAACATAATTCAAAGTCATGCATGGCTCATCAATAATGTGATAACTATGTTCAAACAAAAACCCAAAAATATTCATTCCTTACTAGAAATGCTGAACACTAGAAAAACGGAATTTTATGTATTTGTTTTCTTAAATTTTGCTTAAGATATTCTTCAAAAAGTTAAAACTGCCTGCCACAAAATTTTGTCTGTATATGGCACGAGTTGACACCCAAAACAGTGTGATTTCCATCAAGAAGGCACTGTTTACAAATCTCAGAATAATCTGACAAGTCTACTTCAGTGATGTCTTAGTGAATATATTTGAAATAGGTAAATAGACAAACCCTTATAAAAGTACAGCATTACTGTTTAAATATACTAAAGCTATATAAAAGGAAATAAAATGACACAAAGAAATGACTCTTTTATGACAGTTAAGCCTATAAACACTGAATCATACTATAGTTCTATAACACAAAAATGACAAAAGGTATTTTCTTAAAGGCACAAAAGCGTGAATACTAAATGATGGTTGTATTTTACAAGGCCAACTTTTCAATGGAATGCAGTTGCCAACTGAGCTATGACGAAGATTACATTGTACCTTTATAATAGATACAAAAGAGTACTGACATGAAATACAAGTGAAGTATCTATTGCTGAAACTTGACATTTCACATGCCCTATTTATTGCCTTACCCTCCTGGGCCAGTTACATCTTAGTAAAAGGTGGTTAACCGATGGCATAGTAATTTAACAACCAAGAAAGAAATGCACGTGTCAGTAAGTATTACTTATTTAAGTTTTTATGTGGGAAAATAAAATTTTGATACTCTTTTGAAGAAAACTGGTCATAAGGTTGTAAATTCTAGAAACCCTGAAGAGGCTCAGGCAAGTGGAAACTGCAGATCACACACTGAGGCCATGGATGAAAGGAGATTACTCTCAGGTAAAGAAAAAGTCAATTACAGACTATGGCTAAATACAAAGTTAATTATATGTTTTAAAGATTCACATACTAATTCTACTATATAAGCACTGATCTAAAATTAAGCCACCAATTCCTGAGTTTTGTGTTCAGTTTATAGAGAGGAAGTCAAACAACTAAAAGCATTAAGAGGACTTAAGTAAATAAAAAAAACCGCCACCAATAAACCTGCTCTTTCTTATGAAAAGTGTTTGACTCTTTGGGTAAGAACCCATAATAACATCCTCCCTAAAAAATTTTTTTAGTAAGGAGAATAACTACCTTTGAGTCTTAGAAGATACCTATAAAATAAAAGACTATTTGGACCAAATAAAAATCATATACAAGTGGATAGGACCAAAACCCTAAGATTTGGGTCCCTAACAAAAAATTTTAAGTTTTCAGGATTTAATGATAAAATTATTTTCATGATTAGCCAATGAAGTTATATGTAAATAAATTAATGCTAATTTAAACCATAAGAAAGATCAAATTGTACAGTATTTACAAAATATCACATATCAACAAATAGGTCGTTGAACATAATGTTGGAACAGAATGTGGACACAAAATTATATTGACAAATACGAAATACAACCACAACAAAAAAACCACCTGCTCTACTGTAGTTGAAAATACTGAGTATGGATACACCTCATTTATGCTTTCATCAACTTAAAAAATAATTTCCCATGTACATATAGAAGACATTAGTTTGTCAACAAAACATAGGAAATGTTTTTTTTTGTTGTTGTTGTTGTTTGAGACAGAGTTTCACTCTGATGCCCTGGGTGGAGTGCTGTGGCAGCATAACTCACAGCAACCTCAAACTCCTGAGCTCAAGCAATCCTCTGGCCTCAGTTTCCCGAGTACTGGTTCCTACAGGCATGTACCACAACTATCAGATAATTTTTCCAGTTTTAGTAGAGACAGGGTCTTGCTCTTGCTAAGGCTGGTCTTGAATTCTTGAACTCAAGCAATCCACCTGCCTTGGCTTCCCAGAGTGCTAGGATTACAGGCATGAGCCACTGCATCGGCAGTGAATGGTGCTTTATAGAAACATAGGAGTTAAGATAGGTATATTTGTTAGGGGAAAGAGCAAGCTCTGTGTATCATTTTAATTTTCATAATTCAGCATTCATACCTTGATTTTGTATTTATCATAGCATAATAAAGAGTTGATTATAGTTTTATTAGAGTCCCACAGTCTCAGGCAAAGGCAAATCCTCTCTGACCTCCACTTTCATTAAGAATCATTTCAAAATCTGTACTTTCAGGACTCCAAGATATATTTTAAGACATTATATTTCTAAGGTTAACTACCTTGGCAAAACTTGCTTTTGCAGACTGTTGATATTTATGTAAAAACAAAATGTCAAAATATTAAACTGAAGAAATAAAAAAAAATTTAGGAAAAAGTATGCCTGAGCTGAACAAAAGGAATCTTAAAGAACTGTGGTTTTGCAACAGAAAGAATTTACTAAGAACAAAGGAGGATAATAAGGAATTAAACTTCAGAATGTGATACTCTTCTCAGCTGCTCAACTTATTGCACATTTTAAATAAACCGATTTCAATGTACACGTAAAGGCCACCACACAGCGTTTTACTGCCTTTCTCTTTTTGGCATTTTAAGTAAAATATTGGTTATAATTTTTTTATTCTACTTCTTCACTGAACATACTAGAGTCTAACGCTAAATAAAAGCTAAAACAGGTTTCATAATGAAAAACATGAATTATCAGCATTCCATATGCCCTACAAATATCTCTAGAAGTTGACCTAAGTTATGGACCAGCTGATTTTAAAAAACACAAAAGTATGAAAAAAAAGACAGTCAATTTTGACCAAACTTTTTTCAACAAGTGCTTAAAGTGGTATTATAATCAATCCAAATAGTTACATAAAAGTTTTTCATATTGATATACACATAAATACATACATACCTGTATCTATAAATACTAAATTAAATTCTAGCGGTTAAAAAAATCCTGTGTAAACTTTTTAAAAACCAATTTGCCACCTCAATATCATACACTGATCGTTCATACTATTTTCTTGCTGTTTATAAGAAGACAATTGAGCTGGGTGTTTGGAAATTATTTTAACAGTACAATGTACTGAGTTATTCATGTCTATTATTCCATCATTTCTCAGTCTATAATTCCTTATTGATAAAAGCTTTGTGCCTGTTTTATGAAGAAAATAGATTACATATATTTATAAGAGTGATAGCATTTTTGTTACGAACAATGTTAATGTTATATCTAAGAACATACCACAGAATACAAAGACTACTATCAGGTAAGAGTACATAAGAGACAAATGTGTATACATGTAGATTTATTATACTCACATGTAGACACATTTTCACGAAAGCTAGAAATGTCCTGGCACTTAATACACAGGTCACTTTAATAACCAAATAGGATAGCTCATTTCAGGTCAAGGATAAAAGATATGAAAGATTAACACCTCTACATTTATCCCCTAGGGTTTTTGAAATTTTGTGATGTTTTAATAAAGACCAAACCAACTTAGTCATTGGTCCTAGGAAAAATCTCATTTTTCTAGTTCATTGATTCAACAAGTAGAGAACTTCTATTTAAACATGAAGTTTATTACGACTTGAAGCAAAATCAGGAGGAAAATGATGAAGTAGTCTTTTTGCTGTAGAAAATAATCCGTTGCAGGTGTGCTTGAAACTAAATGATTTCGAAGAGCCATAATATTTCTACAAAAATAAACAATAAATTTTATAATGATTTGCCAAAAATGTTAGCAAAGAACTCATAATTTGATATTTTATGGTCACAGAGCATTTAGTTACATTATCTAAAGTAACAAGTTCAAGCAATTACTATTATCCAAATAGGGAGCTGATTATGCTTTATGAAGCCACTATTAGGCTTTGTTTAAATTCCACACTGTACCAAGCACATTACTTAACCACGTGCATCAAACATAATTGTTAAACTTCGATGCACATGATGGAATAGATATCCGTTTCTCTGTTCTGAAAGTGGTTTTAAAACAAATTTTGCTTTTCCATTGGCTAAGTTCTCTCTCTTATCTTTACTTTAGAGAGATAGAAAGGGGGTGCAATAAAATCCTAAATCTCCCAGGGAAAAATACTAGCTAGATTTAATAACTTTCCCAACTTGAAGACGACTCTAGGCATTTCCTATGATAATGAAAGTAAATGTTAATTTAGTTATAAAATGAGCTTATACTATCGTCACACACATGTCCACCCTAAATGGTTTTGGCTAAAAAGCGCTGATTAGTAAAATACCAGTCAAGAGATTTTTGATTTCTGTTATTAAAATGTTTTACCAGTGTAGAAAAAGGGCAAAAAAATGAAGTAAATATAATTAAATTAGTAAACTTGAACAGTTTAGATAAGGCGGATGATACCAATATGCACAAGACATGCTCCCTGCTCTAAGGAGCTCAAAGGCTGTGAGACCCCTGAGGGCAGGAGACACACACGATGGCAAGTCTGTAGTGTATGAGGTACTCACAGGGAGGATGTACAGGGAGCCATGCAAACTGAGGCAAGGTAAGTGATTAGAAATGTTATAAATAAGGTTGGCATTTGAGTTTAATTCTCAAGGAAAGATAAACAGGGATTTTCTCGATGGGCAAGGTGAGAGGAAGGACAGTGTAAGAAAGAAGTGGCTTCAGTGTAGCAAAGTTCCAGCAATGCAGAGCATGTTCTCAGATGTGAGGAGTTTCACAGGACTAGACATGGGATGGGGGCATGGGAATGGCAGAAGCCAAGGCTGGAGACAAAAATAGCAACTAAATTTAAGCTATAATGTCTTCAAGAACAGAGAACATTTCCATCTCTCTTTCTCTCTCTCAACCAACCAGAACATCTAGCGCTGAGTGCAAAAACATAAAAGCAGCTGGGCTAGCTGAACTCAGGCTAGCCCTAGCAACTAGGATCAGGACCCCTTCTCCAAGGAAACTCCCCAAGTGTTAATAACTTTAGTTGTTGGATCATGGAGTGGTGTGTAGGGAGACAAGTCTGGAACTGCAAGAGTACCCAAAGGTCTCCAGGTAGTGACTATTTACCCAATGTTATGGAAGTTATTTCAATAATTCAACAACTAGTACATTCCAATTACATATCAGCAATGCACAAAGGGGACTGCAGAGTCTTTGTCAACTGACTTTCTCAGAAACAAACCCACCTCCACACCCACTGCAGCTACATTCCTAGCATGCTACAGCAATAACATGAGGCAAACTCTAACTGTACCCTCCCAGAGAATAAACAATCTTCCCCTTACCTCCAGTATTTTAGTGTTGGAAGTACTTAACATTAAGTGTTAGACCTCAGGTGATAGAAGCCAGTGTTCTATTTTAGCTTAACAATGTTACAGAAACGTAAAGTTTGCATGTGAATTCCTACATAACAGGATTCTTAACTACTCCTCTGGACTCAAAGGAATAGCCACATCAGTATAGATTACCTTTTAATTTCCTCCTGTGTTTGTTTTATAGATTCGATGGAACTTTGAATGTCTCCCAGTTCTATCCCTTTCTTTCTTCTTGTACTTGGTTTTAATGATTGAGCTAAAAAGACATTTAGAATGAAGTTGTAATCATAAACACAATCTACAGTTCAAACTAATCAGCCCCATATCATAAAAATTTCCCTAGGCATTGTTTTTGTAGCTTTGAGGTTAGTGTAATACTAAAACTCTGTATTTTTGAAGTTTCAAACAGAATATTACCAATACAGCAGAACCTCTGTAAACTGAATATGGAGGTAGTCTACATAAGGAACTAGCCCTGTCGTACTGGTACGTACATGTGGCACACAGGTGGTCTGTGATACATCAACCATAGGAGGTGGTCAACTATGGAGGTTCTACTATATATTTAAGAAAACACAAATTAGCTAAATTTGGCATGGCATCAGTTTTTAAAACAAAAATAATTAATTTGAAAAATATATACATAAATTAGCTTGGGGAAGGTATTACTCTCTGTCCCTCACCCATTTGCCTAGAAGTTGTCTTTCTGGGCTCCTTTCAGTTTTTTTCTTGTTAGTGCTGTTTTTATTCTCCTAGTTACCCCAACTTTAAGCCTCTTCAGTTGGCTTTGATACTTCTGTAAATTTTTACTGCCAACCAGCAAGCTACACAGGCTATTTCCCTCCTTACTTAACCTCTTTCCCAGTCTTAGCTTTCTCATTTTTAAAATGAGATAGTAATAATACCAAACTTCACACCGTTGCCGTAAGGTGCGTTTAACATACAGTCTGGCATGTATTAATTACTCAGTAAATGTCAGCTGGTACATTGCGGGTAATACAGTGGAGTGGATACAAGGGTGCATCAAGGAGCCATAATATTTGCGTAATAACATCTATATACCTCCTTAAGGGGTATGTGACCTTGGACAGGTTAAGTCTGTGTCTCAGCTTTCTGTAAAACAGGAATAAAAACACTGCAACCAATACTCCCGGTTAGCACACTAGTGCCATGTGACTCCTGCTTTTATTCATGTTATTCATCTACTCTTCTAGCTTGTTGTCCCCACTTGACCCTCCTCAGCTTAGACTATAATTAATCCATTAGAAATCGTAATAATTTATCAGGGTTCTTCTAAGAACCTTCCCTAAAACTGAATTGAGCTCCCTCTCCTTTCAACTCTTATTGTGCCTCATTTACTAATTTCTGGGTATTTACCATTCATTCCCCTACTTACCCAACTAGGTGCTATCTCCCTAGGTGCAAACAGGTTCCTCAGCTCAGAGTAAACTTAGTAGAGACTATGGCTTAAGCTCTAATCTTTTTCACAGTGTCTCAGACATTACCTTAATCTTTTCTTGATTATATCTCAACTATAGTTCAAGATAGTTTACACACTACCTGACTTGAACAAGAATGGCATACTACTTAACCTGGAACTGAGCTGGAAGTGCAAAAAAATACTTCCTGAATCCAATCCGAGGAACCATTACCAATGTCTCAGAAGCTAATAAGGCGTAAGAACTATTACAGCGCGGTTCTCATTCACATGTCTCCCCTTTTCCCATTTCCTGAGTCTTTTCCTCATGGTGGTCTTGCATGATCTGTGATCTATAAGAGCTTTTGTACTGCCTCCTATCCCTGATCCCACCTAAACTCTTATATATCTTCTTGAGTTAATATAAAATGCCATTTCATATATTAAACATAGCATAGTAATATCTTTCTCAAAAATTAGACTTTTAAAGGGAATAGTCTGCATAAATATTTTTTAATATTTTTACCTTCACTGCCAGATGAGTCTTGGATATCAGGTTCTGGGGAAGAATATCCTTTTGCTACTTTCTTCTGTTGCCTGGTTGGCTTATGTTTCATTTTTGGGACACTAACCTGAAGGAAAAAAAAAATCAGTATTATGTGAATTTGCACTGTATTTTGTAATTAAAGCCCAAGGTTGCACAACTGTCAAACTGTTAATAGGCACCATATTTATAGATACAGAGATGAAACAGTCTAGCTAAAATTTAACAAATAAGGTGTGACACATTCATGTAATCAAATTACCTTTATTTTAATCGGAAAAAGAACTGGAACAAACATCAAAAAGTAAAACATAAAAGGAAGCAGTTTCTGGCTTCCTCCCGATCTCTATACACCCAGTCTCTATCCCACTAAACAGGGACCTACCTGCTATTAGTTTATAACCAGAGATATTTTTATGCACACAAAAATATGAATATAGACTCCTGAACTTCTCTGACTACATCAGCTAGTTATCACCAGTAGACTGTTAAATAATAGCATTTAAAAATCATAATTTTTTTTTTCTGTTTCTGGAGACAGAGTCTGTCTCCTTGGGGTTGAATGCCATGGTGTCATAGCTCACAGCAACGTCAAACTCTTGGGCTTAAGTGATTCTCTTGCCTCAGCCTCCTGAGTAGCTGGGACTATAGGTGCCCACCACAACACCCAGCCATTTTTTTTTAGAGTTGGGGTCTTGCTCTTGCTCAGGCTGGTCTCCAACTCCTGAGCTCAAGCAATCTGCCCACCTTGGCCTCCCAGAGTGCTGGGATTACAGTTGTAGCCACCATGCTGGGCAAATCATACTATTCTTGTTCCCAGTATTAGAAACGTTTTCATTTCATGATGTTGGGTTAGGTATGCAGCACTACGTAGTTGTGGTTTTGATTTGCATTTCCCTTATGACTAATGACATGGAATATTTCTCATTTATTGGTTTCTATTTGTATGTCTTTGGAGAAATGTCTAACCAAGCCCTTTGCCCATTTTTAAGTTAAGTTGTCTTTGTAAGAGCTCTTTGTGTATTCTTGATATTAAACCCTTATCAGATAAAGGGTTTGCAAATATTTTCTCACACTGTAGACTGTCTCTTCATTTTCTTGATAGCATCCCTTTGATAACAGAAGTTTTTTGGGGAGGGAGGCAGGGCCAGATTTGAAGCCGCCACCTCTGGTATATGAGGCCAGCACCCTATTCCTTTGAGATACCTCAAAGGCATTGTCCTGATGCATAGAAGTTTTTAATTTTGATCAAGTCCAATTTATCTGTCTGTTGTTGTTACTTGTACTTTTATTTAGTGTTACATCTAAGAAACCATTGCCAAATACAGATTATAAAGAAGTACACATTTTCTTCAGAAGCTGTGTGGTGTTAGCTTCATTTTAGGTTATAAATTCATTTTGAGTTAGTTTATATATATAGTATGAGATAAGGGGTTCAACTTTATTCTCATGCAGGTGAAAACGCAATTGTCCCACTACTACTTGTTGAAGAGACTTTTTTTTCCCATTGAGTGATTTTGATGTCCTTGTCAAAATTCAAATTGACTACAGATGAATGGGTTTACTTATACTTTCAGTTCTATCTCACTGGTAAGCATGTACTTAATGCTTACACTGGTATCATACTGCTCTAATTTCTGTAGGTGTGTAGTAAATTCTGAAACTGGAGACTGTGAGTCCTTCAACTTTGCTCTTCTTTTTTAAGACTGTTTTGGCTATTCATGGCCTCTTGCAATTCCTTATGAATTTATATTTTGGGGAGATCTGTTGATTGGTACATGTTTCTTTTTTTTTTTTTTGAGACAGAGCCTCAAGCTGTCCCCCTGGGTAGAGTGCCGTGGCATTACAGCTCACAGCAACCTCCAACTCCTGGGCTCAAGCGAGTCTCCTGCCTCCGCCTCCCAAGTAGCTGGGACCACAGGCGCCCGCCACAACGCCCGGCTATTTTTTGGTTGCAGCCGTCATTGTTGTTTTGGCGGGTCCGGGCTGGGGATTCGAACCCGCCACCCTAGGGGGGCGGGGTGGGGGGCCTTTGGTGGGTTGAGCTATAGGCGCCGAGCCACATGTTTCTAATTGTTACATATTCTTTTATTTATTTATTTTTTGAGACAGAGTGTCACTTGATCACCCTTGGTAGAGTGCAGTAGCATCTTAGCTCACAGCAACTTCAAACTCTTGGATTTAAGTGATCCTCTTGCCTCAGCCTCCCAAGTAGCTGGAACTATAGGCACCTGCCACAAAGCCCAGCTATTTTTTAGAGATGAGGTCTCACTCTGGCTCAGGTTGATCTCGAAACTGTGAGATCAAGCAATCTACCGGCCTCAGCCTCCCACGTGCTGGTATTATAGGTGTGAGCCACTACACCGGCTGCTACATATTCTTAACGAATTGACCCTTTTATATATCATGTCCTTCTTATCTCTTATAGCTGTTTTTGACTTAAGTCTATTATTTCTGATATTAGTACAGCTACCTCATCTTTCCTATTTGCATGAAATATCTTTTTCCAATCTTTTATTTGACTCTATTTGTGTCTATGGATTTAAAGTGAATCTACTGTAGACAGAACAGAGTCTTATTTATTTTAATTCATACTGCCGATTTGGGTTTTGTTGGAAAAGTTTAATCCATTTAAAGTAGTTACTGATAAAGAAGGAGTTACTTCTGCCAGTGTGCTATTTATTTTCTATATGTCGTTTTCCTTTTTGGTCCCTTATTTACTCTATTACTGCCTTCCTTTGTATTTGGCTGATTTTTTCATAGTGAACAGTTTTGACTCCCTTACCATTTTCTTTTGTGTATGTATTTTTATTTGAGGATACCATAAGGATGACATTCATATCCACATTTATAACACCCTACCATGACACCAACTTAACTTCAACAGTACAGAGTGACGCTGCTCTTCTACAGCTCCGTCCTCCACCCCATTTTATGTAGGAATGAACTACATTGTCATACACTGTATGCTCAATACTAAAGATGAGTAATTAAATTACCTTTTATTCATTTACTTTTAAAATCCTATAAGGTTACAAACTAAAATTATAACTATACTGGCTTTTATATTTGCATATTT